AGTTCTGTCTGGACGGACGTTGTCAAGTATGGGTTTTTGGTGTTTGTCTCAGTGAGCTTCCATCGCCTGAGAATCCTACTGAATGTGAAGAGCCATCAAATAATACAGAAGAATTGAAAATCATGGAAGAAAACATTGAGGTTTTTATAAACAGATGTCAATATGATAGGTTTGTCGCTTTTGCTCATTGCATTTCCAGTGATTTTGATAGCCCAAGAAATATGACTGCAGGAGTTGCAGTGATACTCAGAAAGCATTTTGGAAGACCTCTGATTTCTGACACTGTAATCAGTCATTTAGCGTACCAACAGTCTAACAGTGGTGCATCAGTTTATGGGCTATTGACAAAATCTAAGAACTCAGATAAACCAAATCTACAAGACTATGATTCTTAATCTTGTTTCTCTCACTTAACAGCTGATTTTAAGAAAAGAAATTTCAGAAAGCTAATTTGTTCTCCCATGGGTTGTGTGATGGACCAAATACCCATTGAGAAATTCGCCCAAAACATTGTCAAGTTTCAACAAGCTACAAAAGCAAAAGTACTTATAACAACCAGCAATGAAAAGTCAACTAGAAGGCTATGGAACGGGCTCAGCTATCCAGAATTCCTTCACCGCCTGCAGCATGAGGTAACAGATGCCAGAACCAAAGTGAGGTCTGAGGAAGGCACTACACATTCAGTACAAGCCACAGCGGAAGCCAGTGTCAGAGAAGTTTCCACTCCTTCCATTCCAGAAGCATTGTCATCTCAACAGAAAGACGACTCTACAGACCATCTAGGCTTAGCCAACATGAACACCTTCCCTCCACTCATCACATCACATCACCTCAAGCCTGCCAGTGAAAACAGTGATAGTGCTAGTGCAGAGCAGAGTACCAGTGCTTTTGAGTGTTCAGACAAACTGCCAAAGACTCCTATTTCTGGCAGCAGTGAGGGTGGTTTTTTATGAGTAAAACTTCATGTACAAAAAGGATATTTTCTCATCAAAGCCAGACAACTTTAAATTCAAATACTATCAGGCAAGAAAATGAAGATATATCATTAGCTTATCAATCTACAAACAATGTTTTGCTAAATCACAATCAAATAAACCATTTAACGGAAAGTAATCACATCAACGGAAGGGCATCACAGAAAGTATCCTTTTTGCACAAAGACATAGTAATAGGTACTAACATTAAGTCAAAATTTAGCAATAAAACAGGAGCAAAAGATTCTGTAGATTTAAGCAACAAGTCTGGTTTGAACGATTGTGAAAATCAAAATAACTTAGATCTTTCCAGTCATTCTAATTTAAATGTACTTTTACATTCAGGTCTTTTAAAAAAGGATAACTATTGTCTTAACTGTAAAAATTCTCACTTTGATATATATAAAATATGTGATAGGTGGGAATATTGTAAAGATGTCTGCAGCAACATAAATAAAAATATTAGTTTTCTTATGCTCTTAAATATTCAAGGGGGATTTTTCAAAAAGATGCATGACAAACACATTATTATGGAAGACTCGAACGTAGATATAATCTGTTTTAATGAACATTTTTTGAATTCAAATCAAATAAGTATGTTATCTGGCTTTAAAAACTACATGTTGGTAGCATATTATTGTAGAAATACAGGTGCGAGAGGGGGATCTTGTATTCTCTTAAAGCAAACCCTTATTTTTAAAGAAATGACTGACTTTTATATCTTTAACGAAGAAAGCACTTTTGAAGTCTGTAGTATTGAAATACCCTCTACTAAGGTTATTGTAATTTCTATCTATAGAACTCCGTATGAAAATAATTTAAAACAATTTTTAGATAAGCTAGAATATCTTCTTTGTAAACTGCAAAAGTATATAAAAACACATCAGATATACATAGCAGCAGACTTCAACATAGATATTTTATCAAATTCATACTCACATAATAATAGAAAAAAGTTTTTAAATTTAATTAATATGTATGGCTTTAATATAAACTTCTGTTCACCAACCAGAATAACACATAGCACAAGTACCTGCATTGACAATACTTTAACCAATGATGTTCTGAGACCAGAAGTAAAGAGGTCCAAAATGAATCTTGAACTAGGTTTGTCAGACCATAGGGCACTCTTTATTGAAATGCCAAGAAATAAATTGTTAGATGAAAAGGTAGATTGCAAAAGAAGGTTGTTTTCACAAACAAATAAGGCTTTATTTTATAAATGTATTTCAGAAATTAACTGGAGCTTATCACTTCTAAAGGACGCTCAGAGAAATTTTAGTAGTTTTATGCATGACTTTTTAGTTAGTTTTGACCACTGTTTTCCATTAAAGTTTTTCTCAAAAAGGTTAAAAAAAGACAAATTTAAAAAAAGCTGGGTAACTAAAGGAATTAAAGTATCTAGCAACAAAAAAAGACAATTGAGTATTATTGCCAAAACTAACCAGGACATTAATTTTCAAAAATATTACCAAAACTACAGAAAAATATTTAAAACTGTTTGTGATAAAGCTAGAAAATTGTTTAACTGTAAGATAATATCAAGTGCTGATAACAAAAGTAAAGCTGTATGGAGTGTTGTGAAGTCTGAGCTTGGAGTTTTAAATGCCAAAAAAGTAGACTTCCCGGATGTGTATGTAGAAGATCAACAGGTAAAAGATGGTCAAATCATTGCTAACTTCTTTAATGAAAAATTTGCTAATGTGTCCAAAGATAATAATTTTAACTCCTGTATCTATACAGCAACTGAGCTAGCAAATAAAATTTATATTAATTCGGATATAAAATTTCAATTCAGACATATAACAGTATCAGACGTTAAAAAAACAATTAAAAAATTAAAAAACAAAAATTCAGTTGGATGGGATGAGATTCCGATTGAAATAGTTAAGAATATAAAAAATTTTATTGCACAACCGCTTTGTCTAATAATTAATCAATGCTTTGATGAAGGAATTTTTCCACATCAACTGAAAAATGCGGAACTAAAACCACTGTATAAAAAAGGTTCGCCGGGAAATCCTGAAAACTATCGTCCCGTATCCATTTTACCATGTTTATCAAAGGTTTTTGAAAAACTTGCATACAACCAAATTTATTCATATTTTGAAAACAATTTCTTATTCACAGAAAAACAATTTGGATTTAGATCTGGAAAAAACACAACAATGGCTGTCTCAGAGTTCATAAATCAAGTATTGGCTGGCCTGGATGGATCGCAGAGTACAGCAGCGGTGTTCTGTGATCTATCCAAGGCGTTTGATTGTGTAAATTATGATGTTTTAATGAGCAAACTTCGACATTATTCATTTTCTGGCATGGCTTTGTCTTGGATTGATTCTTATTTAACTGACAGGAAACAAAGAACATCAATTATAAAAAATGGCAAAAAGTTTATCTCGAATTGGCACGAAGTTAAATGTGGTGTCCCACAAGGCTCGATATTAGGTCCTTTATTATTTTTAATTTTTGTGAATGATGTACCTCAAAATGTATCTTCTAGCCTCATATTATAAGCTGATGACACTACAGCCATAGTTAAAGCAAAAGATATACCCAATCTAAAATTAGAACTCAACAGCTCACTTATAGATTTGTCCAGTTGGTTTACAGTAAATGGGCTGCAACTCAATAGTTCTAAAACACAGGTTATGTTATTTCAAACAATCCAAAATAGAGAGAATCAAAATTTTGAATTACGCTATCAAAGCGATACTTTACCTTTTGTTAAACATACAAAGTTCTTAGGTTTAATAATTGATAGAAATTTAACCTGGAAACCAAATATAGACATGATAGTAAAGAGATTGAATACAGCCTGTTCTCAAATGTGTGTTTTAAGGAATATAATTGATTTGAAAACTAAACTTACTGTATATTATGCAATGTTTTATTCCATCATGCAGTATGGAATTGAACTGTGGGGCTCAACTTCATATGCCGACACAGTTTTTAAAAAACAGAAGAAATTTTTAAGAATCTTATCTTTTGCACCAAAAAGAGCATCATTTAAACCTATTTTCAAAAAATATGACATATTACAATGCCTTCTTTATACAGGGTGAGTTTTAAATGAGTTCCCCCCCTACTTTTTTCTACATTTCTTAAGATATCAACTCCGGACCACGTCAGATCATTGTAGAGTAGTAAGTACTTCATTTTGACTGGGTATAAAATTTTGGCCGCCATCTTGGATTTGCCATATTGGATACAAAGTTTTTTTTTCAAATGCAAAGTTAGGGTTGTGACCCATCGTTTCAAACTAGATTTTTACGCTGAATATGATGCTGCAATCCGTTTTTAAAAATCTTGATCCATTCAAAAGTTATGAGAACATTTTTAACTTATTTTTAGCCCATTTTAACATTGTGCAGTTACAAACTCAGACTATAATCGTAAAATAGAGCTAGATAAAGATAAGTATGCACCACCAGTCATTGTCAACCTATTTTCTTTTGGTTATGATCACTTGGATACGATTATGGTCTTAGTATAGTATTTATTTTTTTAGTAACTATTATAGTACTTACCTGACCGCTGCTGGCCATCATGCAACCGTAGCAAATGTTTTAAAATTCACATTGCTAACAAAGATACTTCCAGTACTGTAGTTATTTCACAGATTGTTATTTAAGTTTACGGTGACAAAAAACCGTTTGATACAGACTCAAAACTCACTTGCGGCTGGGGATTCAATAATTTAAAAAAATTTACAAACACAGCAAGGCATATACGTCAGCTAAAGAGCTGCAAATGGTGTCATTCTGTTAACAAATGATGCCATTAAGCGGCGAGGAGTCTTGTTTTGTTGTTCATATAAACTACGGGGGCTATACACAAAAATTACCCTTATTTATAAAACAACCCTCGTATATAAAGTGTTTCCATTCAAACAATCACGTTGAATGGTACTAATTGGGTGGCCAAGTTAACTTTAACTAAATACATAATCATCATGAACTACTAAGTTTCTCTTTAGTTAGTTTAGCAATCTTTCTCATGCAAGTGAAGGCAAGGTTTGGATACCTGCAAGAAGTCTTCAGCATCCTTCAAGTGGTCCACGATGTTGCTGACAAGCCTGGCTCTTTCAGGGTCCGTCAGAGTTTTGCTCCAGAACAACGCAGGTTGGGTGAAGTTGTCTTGATCTTCACTGTTGTACCTGTGTAAAGTCGACAATCAATAGAAAATCAATCACCAACACTACTACACTTAAACCACAACCCTAAACCAAAACTGACAACAACCTTAGGGGAGAACCTTTTAAGATATTCTTGTGCGGTGACTCCCATCTTCGGTTCTCCACAAACATTGTTGCAGAGAAGGGAGCTTACGTTGAGTGTTGTCCAGGAGGAAGATTTAGAGACTAAAAGATAAGTGGTTAGGTTATTTAGATGTGTAAAATGAGTGTGACTGTGTCAAGTTGCACTGTGAGAATAAATTATCAAAACAGTGAAACCTTCAAAGTAAACTCAGGAGTCAGACAGGGGGATGACCTTTACCCAATTTTATTCAATGTGGCCCTGGAGGAGACACTGTAGAAGACAGCAGAAATGAACATGGGTGTCAAAGTAGGAGACAAACTGTATGTGCTAGCATTTGCAGATGACGTAGCTATAATGGCAAAGGACCTAACACAGCCGACCGATGTCTTCATACATACCTGGTATTAGTAGAGGGAAGAGCAGTATGTTGCACAAGGCTTAGTACACCAAGACTCAAACTGGCTATGTTCAACACATTGATAGGTAAAGAGGGCTTTAAATTGATTGAAAAACGTGTAGATACAATTAATATAGATCTTGCTGGTATCATAGAAGCATTGGAACGACAAACCCCTATACAGGGTGACAATTAAGTCTAGAACCTCTATTATATTTTTAAACCATTAGATAACAAAATACCAAAGTTCACACGTGCCTACTGGTGATAGTAAGGCACACATCTGACCAATTACCGACCAGATAACCCCTTCGGGGGACGGTCCACAAGGAGTCGACAAAATTCTTAAATAGCAGCATAGGTCGAGTTTGGTATCAAAATAAAGCTGTTAGTAAAATACAATGTCACAAATCCTAACTCAAACGGACAACCAAGTCAAAAATGGCAGCAGTTGAGATTAAGATATCTCACTAACGCCTACTGTTGAAGAGATCATGCCACAATTAGCAGGAGCAAAATTCTTTAGTATTCTAGATCATAAGATAGATTTTGGATTTTGTCACACTTACAGACAAGGGCAAGGGGGTTATCGCAAAGGCAGATAAGGGTAACTGCACAGTCATCATAGATAAGGATGAATATGTCAGCAAGGTCCAGGACTTCATCGAGGCCAATAACATCGTAACTCTAGCTAAAGACCCCACCACCTCCTTCTCTAAGGAAATCAACAGATTAATAACTTCGTGTAATGACCTTTTAACTAACAAAGATAATAGAAACTTAAAAGTTACCAAACCTAGAGCCCCCAAGTTAAGAGGATTACCAAAAATACAACCACAGTGTCAGGAATACCATAGATTTAGTAAATAAGGTTTCCAACATAAAACTAAAAGACTCTTACATTTTAGCATCTTTTGACGTCGTCAATCCATTTACGAACATTCCAATTAATACAATGATTTTTCTAAAAAACAATTTGGACAAACATTCTTCACTACCAACAAAGGCAATACAAGAAATTGTTATCTTAACCCAAAACGTCCTGAAGAAAAACTACTTTGAATTTGAGAACAAGTATTATATCCAGAACAAGGGATTAACAATGTGTTCACCGCTTTCAAGTATACTCGCAGAATTATTCTTGAACCATGTTGGAAACAAACATCTTTGCTTTGGTCTGATTCCAACCGAAACCTCAATAGAATAATCCACTATAGTAGGTACGTGGACGACCCTCAAGGTTAGTAGAGAGACAGGTTGACGCATCCCTATACCTCCCCAGCAGTCACAAAAACCGGTTTGAGCGCCGCACGTGTGACGTCAGCCAGTGACCGCCTCGCCCCTCGCAGGTAAGAAGACAGTCAAACCTTAATTACCTAACAAATAACAAAAAATAAGATAACAATTATTTATTAACGTTGTTTGCCTCCTGAATCGTGTCTAGACTAATATAATAGGTTACTAACCTTTTTCCGTCGACTATTCCAAGTAATCCTGATTTATTTGGTTACTCCGAGTTTCAACATCAAAGGGCCATTTTCATATAAAACTTACCATGTCAAAATTTGACATGGTTTGAAAATGGCTCTTTGAGGTTAAAACTCAGAGTAGAGCCAACCAAATAAGGATTACTTATAATCGTCTACGGAAAAAGGTTATTTATATATTATATTTCAGAAATTAAAGTAACGAAATGCATTAATAAAGCCAATAGTATTAGTGTACTAGAAGTAGTACTAGAAAAAAGCCAATTGTTTAACGGCTTTGAAAAATTTTGTGCAAATAATATAATACTAAAACTATATATCTATTTTTTTTTTTTACTTTTACTAGTACCCAAGAATTTAATTGACCTTTTAATCTTAATATTAGGCCTAAGGTTTAGTTTCCAAAGGACGCATCTCGAAGCTGACGCACAGGCATTTGTTTCCATGTCGGCTAATTAACCAGAAAACTTGTTCATGTTTTAGTTAAATTTTACGAACTGAAGCACTTATAGTTTGTAGCATGTAATCTTTAATTTATTTGGTTACCAATCAAAAGAGAGAATCAAGAACAGTTATTTTTCTTTTATGCAAGAACTATTCAATGTTTGCAATCCATATTTTTTGTAATTTAATTAAATGAATCTTTTTATTTATTCTTTTCTTAGATTTTTTCAGGTACAGGATATTCCTCTGGAAGTTATTACATCGTATATTAAAATGAGAACAATCATTAGGATGAAGGACTTAAACATCAATCTTGGGACAAAAATCAAAAAAAGAAAAGGAGACGCTGATACGGAAGATAGAAAGCGATTAAACAAAGTAAAAAAATATGTACATGAATCATTGCCTTGTCTGTCATTGTAGTCATTATGTATTTTATTTAATGCATTCCGTCAATACATCTTTTCATACAAATCGTTATCTCTTTGTTTAATTATTAATCCTCGCTTTTATTGCCATTCTATTTACACAAATAAACTAAACACAATGGTTTATAAACAGCTAGTAGTGTAACGCTGATATCACGACAATAATACTACTGTAGTGATGGCACGCGCAGAACATAGCGGCTGGTCACTGGATGACGTCACAGCGGCTGGCTACGTGCACCACGGAATCGGCCGGACGCATCAACCTGTCTCTCTACTAACCTTGGACGACCCTCATCTTATTCAACGGTAATGAGAGGCAAATCAACCTACTCCATACATACTTGAATACATTTCACAGGAACTTGCAATTCACCCTTGAAATAGAAGAAACAAAATCAATTCATTTTCTAGACGTCACCATTACCAGAAGCGATAAACAATTAAATTTTAAAATCTACAGAAAAACAACCACCACAGATCAGACAATTCATTCGTTATCACACCATCCACATAACCATAAAACTGCCGCATATAATAGTTTCGTCCACCGCTTACTTTCCATCCCACTGAGTCCAACTGATTACAACAACGAAGTAAATACTTTAAAACATATAGCAGTTGCAAATGGCTACAATAGTTCCCTGATTGACAAATTGATTAATAGACAACACAATGAAACAATAACAAACCACAAGATAGCAGTAAAAGATATGTCAGCGCTAACTACGGTGTTGTACTGAACCACGCCCTAGTAAATGAATTAGCTAAAAATGACGTGAACGTATCATTTTAAACTAACAATAAACTCTCAACCATCGTCAAAGAGAGGTGCCAACCCGAAACTAATAGAATGAAAAATCAGGAATTTACAGATTGAAAAGGAACATAAGCCTAAGACAAATTCCAAATCAGTGTACGTAAACCACCTAACTTCCTCCAACCACGATTACACTGATATTCACAATAGTTTAGAAATAGTACAGTTCTGTAATAAAGGTCGATACATGGATACAGTTGAACAGTATGAAATTTACAAGGCATCAAAGGAACACCCACATCATTGAACGAAAAATTATCATTCGAGTCTAACATCATCTACAACACTGCCATTCAAATCCATAATATAAGGACAACAAAAGAACGAGATAAGGATATCATAGGAGTAGGTGTGGGGGTCAACGCTGACGACACGTAACAGTCGCGACTTGCTCTGAGCCGGTGCCGTATCACGTGTTTTGTTACCGTCTGGTCAACCAGTGTTAAATGTTCAGTTTTGTGTTTTTGTGTTTTATGTCGTGTCCATGTTATTTATATTACTATAAACTTTTGACAAACTCCACCATGAGGAGTATCTAATGACTACTGCCTGACATTCTTCTGACCCGATGATGTGCTCCATCCGAAGCACGAAACATCTCTAGTCACAACAAACTGCAAAGGATCGTTTTGGACAGTAACAAGGTAAGGTAAACCACTATACGTTAATTCAGATGATCCAGAGGCCATACCATCATGTAAATAGGGAATATATATATATATATATATATGCCTTGTTTATGAAAATTTTCCCTCTTAATCCAATCGGACAAATTTAACATAACATTTTTTGGAGACTACACAACAGCAGTAGAAGTGCTCTAAGTTCCTACAGTGAGCACAAGGCTATATAGGGGATACCAAAAACAGAAAATGTTAGAAATGTAAAAATTCTATAAAGTCCTTAAACAAGCTGAAGATATGTTTAGGTTAAATACTACTACCACACTCAAAGCAACACCTCTATGAAATTCAGAAACTCCAAAACAATCTTAATTCTTGCCGAATAACCCTAATAATTTTAACAAATCACTTGCAGAGGAAATTTTTGAATCAGAAGCTACTCAACAAACCAAGAGTAATGATAAATTAACTCTGACACTGAACCATTATCTCAAGTTCTTCAGAGTCCCAACTTCCTAGCTGATCTTGAGAGTAGTCTGGCAGAAGACAGTCAGCTGAGTGAAGAGGATGCACTAACTATTGCAGCTAAAGATGGTGCTGCTCTACTGGAGGAGAACAAGACTAAAACAGCAATATGATTAACTAACAACTAAACTAAACATTCTCCAAATAACACAGAAGGAACACACAGCCATCAT